TACTCCAGGACTGCACCGAATTTGACAAATAAAGGCAAACCTTTTGGCCAGAAAGAACAACAGTAGAACGTAAACCCTATGGACCATTGAATGAACTAACGACGACAATGGAATTTATACAAGAAACAAAATTGCTGCCACAGACAACTTATTTCAGGTGAACGAAAGAAGAAGAAGAATATCTGAGGCCATTGCAATAATTGTCCCTTAAATGGTGATGTCCGAAAGAGGTATAGCCTCCAGTATTTCAGTGGCTTGATGACCTTCAATTTCCCATTCAGCATCTAGATGAAAGGCTTTACTAACTCCCCACCATTAGTATACCTTTTTTTTCGGTATCGCTTTTCAAAGATCAATTAGAAAAGAAGCTAAAAGCAGCGAATTGTCACTGGTTGTCATCCCTTTTATTTGACATTCCTGACTTGTCATCTGGTTTTGTAATATTTGAAAAAAAGTTAGTGGTTTATCCATGAAATCGCTTTGCTTCATAAGCAAAATATGAGCTAGTTTATTATATTTCACTATCTCATTTGAAAGAGTTGGCGTCTGTGGCTTAGGCGTTGCGAACGCGCTTCGTAATGCCGGGGTGCAGGGTCTGATTCCAGCTGCGGGCCTTCTGCCTTGCGTTGGTTTTGACAGTGGCATCCAGAAGCCAACCTTCCAGAAAGCAATGGCAACCTACTGGACTAAATATGCCTAGAAAAACCACAACAGCCAAAAAGGCTGGGGTTGGTTCTACAACGTTCTGTAAAGGATACGAAACTAATATTTTAAACAATTTCTGAACGCACTGCACACAACGATTCGGGCTTAAGTTCACTGCCAGCAGTTACTGTAAAACCAATCTTTAAAAAGTCTTTGCTGAAATGTCTTACAAGATTTCCTTAGGTGTCTTCGTGGCGAAGTGTTCCAGCCGTTTGCTTAGCGTTCTAAAGGTCGTGGGTTCCTTTCACGGGAGTTCACAAGTGCACGAGTGGCTTTAAAAAATACGAAAAATTGCGGCCCATGCGGAGATGTGGTTATCATTTACTTTTTACTGGCCAAAAATTACCAGTTACTGCCTTTAATTTACCACTTTTGCGCTGTAGGCAGGGGCGTCTTTGAGCCGAGGAATTTACGACCGCATGGCTAGTGCTGTCGAGACGATTGTTCGGGTGAGGATTTAATTTTGCCCCGACAGAGAAAATCCCCAGCCTTACTGAGGATTCGAACCTGGGTGTCCCCTTTTTACTGATATCCCTACAAAGTTTTATGAACACACTCCTGTAATGTTATTGTTTAAACAAGGGAACTAATCACACAATCACTGATACAATATATGACCCTTTCTCTTACCTCTGTTAGTCTGATTAGGAAAGCCAGCAACCGACCGACTCTCACATACACGGCAGTTTTTCCAAATGTTCGTGGTAAATTCTAAGACTCCGTAACATGAGTTAAAGTCCTTACTATAGGTTAATTCCCTACCCAGACTAGACTATAGGGTAATTCCCTCCCCAGACTAGACTATAGGTTAATTCCCTACCCGGACTAGACTATACGGTAATTCCCTACCCAGACTAGACTAAAGATTAAATCCCTACACCGACTGGTCAATAGATTAATTCCCTACCCCGACTGGTATATAGGATAATTCCATTACCAGACTGGTCTATAGGTTAATTGCCTACCCAGATTGGACTATAGGTTACTTAACTGTCGCATGCCGTTACATAACTGTTTTATGCTACTGAATGGGATTTCTAGGATTTGAACCTGCTTGATTCTCAACCTTGAGATGTCAATCCTACAGACTGCAATCATAAAAACTACATACCCTAGCCGATCCATAAGACATAAATGTTTGGCGGGCCACCTGGGATTTGTCGCTGGCAATTAGTTGAAGAACACTACATTAGGGGACAGCTAACTAACCGTTTTTGGTGAAAGGAGGGACACGATATAGAGAAGTAGGTTCGCACACGCAAGTATTTAAGGCACTTGAAGCTGGTGAATATTTTCTAAGATAAACACACTTCGTGTGGGTTTACTGGAGAGACTTCGCACGCTTCAGTGCTTAAAGAGCACATACTTTAAGTACACGGCCAGATATCAGCTTGGGAACTCAAGAAATCAATGCCGAGACAGTCAATGTAGGTCAAGAGAAAAACTCAGCGTTTGTAGGAGCTTATCGCTGCCTCAGCCAGGCCGTTCAGTGCGTATAGTCTGTTGCAAAAGTTGTGCCCAACTTAAGTAAAGTAAGTAAAGGACCATTTTCCACGCCTTTAGGCGTATAGGGTATACGTGGCTAGACCTATATTTTTGTATAGACCAATCGGCACAAGATTGGTGATGTGGTCAGCATCACGCCGGCCGCCTCTTCTTCCCAGAACTGCACTCTGTACCTACTCAAGGCTGGGTCGACCTGGGAGCCAAGGCCATTTTTCAAAAAAGTCCTGCTCCTCCCGGGAGCGAACCCACGACCTTCCGATTCGCGGCGAGCGTCTAGCCGCTCCACCACAGGGACTCCCGTGCCTAACTTAAACAATCTGTAACTCAGTAACTTTTCAGCACGAATGGTTAGAAATTTGGCAGGCAATGGAATGCAACATGTTTATAATCCTGTCATTGTGAGAATCATATAAATGTAAATATATAAAGAACTCTTTTCCACGCCTTTTATGCGTAAATGGCACACAGGGCTAGTCCTACATTCTTATAGAACAAATGGCACAAGGTGGGTGATGTGATCAGCATCACCCTGGACGCGTTTACTTTGAGGGACATCGCATCACTCGAGGCATTCCTATAAGCGCTCCGTCCCCATCCTCAGCAGCCAGCGGAGAGTTCCAATGCTAATGGTACCGCTCGTAGTCTGGTTGTATGTTTGTGTTGCCTTTCCTCTGAGCCTAGAGTATCGGCCGAATCCTCTGGTCACACTCAGGTGCATCATTCTCTCCAGCCAACAATAATCTAGTTTCTCTTCTGACTTCGTTTCTTGTACCCAAATGGCCTTGACCACATCTTCCTTGTCATTATCAATTCACCACACAGCGGTGCAGACCCAGTCAATCTGTCTGCCTGCGCATTCCCCACCACGCCCATTTCAAATATAATCACAAACCAAGAAAAGTTTTGTAAGGAAAAATTGTGGAAACCAGCGCATCAACCACTGACTGCTTCAGTTGATAACGTTTATTAACGCATGTTTGTTATTAAATCATGCAGACTTTCTATGAGTGCCAATCAATACACTTTATGCTACTTGATTAATTCTCATAGTTCCAACAGGGGTCGCGTTGACTACATACACTATACACATTTTTTTCTTCTTCAAATAGCCCTATTTTGCCCATGCCAGCGTTATGGTTGTATTGAGAATCTGACTTGTTGCCCAACCATTGGATCACATTCTATCTTTTGTAGAACAACGGCACTTAAAGGGTGATATACTCAACATCACGACGACTTCCTTGACTTCCCAGAACTTTATCTGGTACCCTTTTAAGGCTAGGTCGACCTGGGAGCCAAGTTCATTTTTTGAAGAAGAAAAAATCCGGCTTTGTCAGGACCTGAACATACGACCTTCCAGTTCGCAAGCGAGCTTTTACAGTGGTACCACTGTGGCACAGTAAGCAGCCATGCTATTTAAAATCATATAATTATATCTTTATCTTCTTCTTATCTTTTGCGGCCGAACATCTCTTTCTACATTTCTCCATCGGCAGTTTTCATACAAACAGAAATAAGAGTACCAGTCTGTCTTGAAACGGCCCACTTTAAACAAACGTAAACTCCGTCTATAGTTATTGATTAGCTTATTGGCTGATTGATCAAACTGCCGGCAGCCTGACTTAATTATCAGGCGGGAACGATTAGGCGGAAACAATTGTGTCATCGATTGGGAGCAGCACAGGGAGAAAACGCCTTCTACACACAGCACAGGTCTGTCAGCACTAGAGCCATCATTGCATGCAAGTTGTAGGCTACGATCATTTTGTGTATGTGTGCTCTCATTCTGTTTGTGAGGTCAGCTTTTGACTTATATTATATATGTGATCAGCTCTTCATTAATTCTACATGTTTGATCAGCTGTTGAGTGAATGTCTTCGTTAATTCTACATGTGTGATCAGCTGTAGAGTGAATGTCTTCATTTATTCTACATGTGTGATCAGCTGTTGAGTGGTTGTCTTCGTTAATTCTCCATGAGTGATCACCTGTTGAGTGATTGTCTTCGTTATTTCTTCATATGTGATCAGCTGTTGAATGAATGTCTTCTTTAATTCTACATGTGCGCTCATCTGTTGTCTGCTACTGTTCTTTCATTAATCGGATGAGATCAGCTGTTGTCTGCTACTGTTCTTTCTAGGGCTGTACCGAATATTCCTTTCGTATTCGCTTCGGGGCCGAATATTGGACCTAAAAAATATTCGCTATTCGGCCGAATACTTGCGTTCGGGCCGAATACGAATTAGTGGTTACCTTACACCCGTTTCTGCATACACAGCGATAGACTGAAATAACTCTCTCATTAACACAATAGTTGCTGTTGCCTTTGTCTGTCGTAGCAGGGGAAACTGCGACCCGGTTGCGTGGTTAATTTACCAGCCGTGGTTAATTTTGAAGTAAAACAATAAACTGCCTCGGATTCAAAACCAACGCCTTCTGACTAGCAGATGATCGCCTAGTCATAACAATATCGCGGTTCCCTCGCAGTGTTACAGATACTGACTAAGGTAAAGGTGAAGGTAAAGGTGGAAGGATCGATTTCACAGCTAGCTGCCTGCTGAGAGCGTCGCACAGAGCACGACCTCCGTATCTCCAGCGAAGACCCCCAGAGATCTCCGTAAAAACTGAACTGGTGAACTGAATGGCGCCTCCATAAAACGAACCCACAACCTTCAGAGCGCGAAGCAACTGGCTTGACCACTTCGCCACAGAGACCAACAAAACACAGGCATATGTGTAATAAATACAATAAATAGGTAATACATACAACAACAGCAACAACAAAACGTACCTGCTTTGCAGGGGTCCAAGTATAAATCATTGGATGTCCTGTGTGGTACAGTATCCTCAACAGCAGAAACCACAAAAAGTACAGAAATCAGCAGCGTAGCAACGGAGTACACAATACATTTCATTGCAAATGTTGATTTCTCAAACGACTGGACTATCATGTTTACGTCTGGACTCCACATCGTTTGTGGATTTTAAACACGATTGAAATCAGAGGCAAGCGGAGTCAACTTCCTTGAGGTTACCACCAATTATCAATGGGTAATCATCCGAGGGATGGATGTCGCGGTAGACTCAGCTGGCGCCGGCACAATGATTGCAATCAGTGGTTATTGTATACATTTGTAAAATGGTCTAGTGTTTATGCTGAAATTCAAGCTAAGAGCAGCCATTCATGAAGAAACGTGCCTCTGTTGTAATTCTGTGCTGGGTATAAAGCAGCTTTACTGGTAGTTTCAGCATTGAAATGCGCTGGAAATGGTTTTTCTGGAGAGAAAAGGAAGAATCTTTGCATGAGATGGATTAGGTATAAAAACATGTAATTGGTTACACAGACTTAACAAGCCAGTCAATTAGGTGTTGTTTCAACAAAGAAATGCTTCTCTGTTTTTTATAATGGCGGCGTTATATGGCAGTTTAAGCTTTATAATTTGCTCTTAAAAATTGTCCTTGATATAAAAATTATAATAGGTATAGAATGCGAATTACATGCATTAAAATGCCTGTAGCTATTTAATTAAAGCAGTAAAGTAAAGGTCTCTTTTCCACACCGTCAGGCATATTGGGCACATAGGGCTAGATATATTTTATAAGACTAATCGGCACTATGTGGTTGACGTGTTCAACACCATTCCTTCCCATGACTTTACCTAGTACCCATTTAAAACTAGGTCGACCGGAGAGATAAAGTCATTAAAAAAAGAGTTAATCAGTCAGGTACTGCCTCTCTAAAATATCTGTATAATTATTTTGTAAAGCAACTCTCCCCCCCCCCCCCCCACCATGTCAAATGTCTACCTCTTGCTTATCTGTCCCCATTACTTTCTTTCCAGTTTAGTTGTTATAAGAGTATTATGTATTTTAACTCTATAGTCCCAAGGAACGCATTATACGTTAATAGATTCCTACCTAGGAGCCCAATGAATGCAAGATGCGCCGATTTTACGTCTATCTTGACTACCCCGTGTGTCTGTGATGCTAAACCCCCTGGGACTCGAAGAGTTAATGTGGCCGAAATATTTTCTCTGCTCCCCTTTTAATCGCGGTCTCTTCATAATTTCTGTATTTGATTTCTCTTTTATTTTGTTTCCATACGAAATGGTCTACTCGTCCGAATATCCATCAACCAACAAAAGCGAATTTGTCTAAGTAACGTTGCTACACACGAAACTACATCAATCTTAAACAAGTTTGATTTTTTTTTTTTTTTTTTAACAACGGATCAACATCATAAAACACAGTTAGTAACTCATAAGTGTTCCGCACTACTTTCAACTCACAAAGGAGTCGGAAGAAGCTATGCACATTGCACAGGTTCTGTAGCACCGGCAAGGATCCTGAAATACTATAGGTATATTTTTAACTTCTAATTTCGTCCGGGCAACGACGTTAGGCTACTCTTTTCGATTTCTAACTGCCAGGGGATGTGTACGTATATATATATATATATATATATATATATATATATATATATATATATATATATATATATATATATATATATATATATATTTATATAAATATATATTTATATTTATATATTCAAATACTCCAGAGTACAACTTCTATGCATGGTTGTGTGTGTGATGTGTCTGTGGTGGGGTAACATTTGTCCAAATTAGAGGGACTCAGACGGCTTCAGCTTTGTTACATGTGAAAGCTAACCTACCGAAGAAATGCCCTATAAAGTCAGAAGTGTTGGTTGAAAAGCTAAAATATCACTGCTATGCTGAAAACAGGCATAACGCTTTTAAATCACTCCGATGTACGGGGAATAAAAGAAGAAGTCTTGTTTAATTCTAAAAAATAGCAGTATAATTATTATTACCCATTTAAACAAGGTTTGTGTCCCTCCTAGTCCATACAAATTATTGTGGGGGTTGGGTATAACGCCTACCCGATTACAACAGCGCGCCTAGATGTGGGTAAAATCACAGCTGGGGGACACAGTAGTCTAGTGGCTTGACTTTTGCCTGCCCTGTGGGAGGCATCGAAAATAGATGATGATGATGATGATGATGACAATGAACTAAACTAATGCAGGCTGGACTCGTAAAAGCTGCTTGTCTATCCATTGAACCAACAGGTCTTTCTTGCCATTTTACAGATGGTTCGGTGTTGAGAGGAAAGTGAAGTACCTGGAGTTTCGTAGCAAAAGCCAATGGAAAATCTTTGGTGCAAGACAGCCTAGCATCTGACACCACAAAATCTAGCCTGAGGATGGAGGTGGAAGCTGTAACTGCAGCTCTCCGGTGGCTAGAGAACAGGATGCATACACATGCCACAATTGTAACAGACTCTGAAAGCATGCTGAGAAAGGTGAAGACAGGGATGCTTCGAGCAAGGTGGGAAGCTTCACTGGGAAGGTCGCGGGTAGTGAGCATACTTTGGATCTTTTCTCCAGGCAATGTCGGCGTGGTGAGTAAGAAACAGGCAGACAGTCTGGCTGGATCTGCACCGCTGGTTTGAAAATAATAAATGACAAGGCAGGTGTGACCGAAACCTTTGGGAACAAGCTACAGCATCAGTAAAGAAACAAGATGATTATGGCCTGGAGAGAATGAAGCACATAGCTACTGAAGATAAGGAAGGAGCACGCATTTAAAAATTAAGCTTGCATATACTTTTTTTTAAAAATAAATTACCATTATGTACATTTCTTTTTTATATTATATTGTTACATATTCCTTCAATATATTCAATCTGTATATTAGATTTTGTAGCGCTTTGTAATGCCGGGGTGCAGGGTTCGATCCCAGCTGCGGGCCTTGCGCCTTGCGTTGGTTTCCACAGTGGTATCGAGAAGACGACCGCCCAGAAAGCAATGGCAAACTAATGTACGTAAACTTGACTAGGAAAACCACAACATCCAAAACATGCTGGGGTTGGTTCTGCAACTTCATGTAGAGGATACGCAACTAACTTAACTTTATATTAGATTAACGTACTTGTTTGCTTGTGATACATAGTATATGATTAAAGATACACATAACATAACCCTTGTGATGGTGCTTCAATTGGAGCACTAGCACACACAACCGGCCATCTGTCTCTGCCTTGGGAGCACTAGCAAACACAACCGACCATCCGTCTCTGCCTTCGGAGCACTAGCACACACAACCGGTCATCTGTCTCTGTCTTGGGATCACTAGCACACAAAACCAGTCATCTGTCTCTGTTTTGGGAGCACTAGCACACACAACTGGCCATCTGTCTCTGCCTTGGGAGCACTAGCACACACAACCGGTCATCTGTCTCTGCCTTGAAAGCACTAGCACACACAACCGGCCATCTGTCTCTGCCTTGGGAGCACTAGCACACACAACCGGTCATCTGTCTCTGCCTTGGGAGCACTAGCACACACAACCGGTCATCTGTCTCTGCCTTTGTCTCTGTCTTGGGAGCACTAGCACACACAACCGGTCATCTGTCTCTGCCTTGAGCTTGTTGAAATATTTTAAAAGGTACATGTATATATATATATATATAGCTCTGATGATTTGAATGTTTACATTACACTTACAAACAGCTTTCAGATAGTAAATATTTAAATATTACTTTTTATGCATTGTATGCTTATATTATTTTGTAATACTCATAGTCTTGATATATTTCATATTTATATATTGCATCTAAAAATTTAATTTTATATTACCTTTATAAATATCTTACCTTTTATTCAGTTTTTAGATGTGGAATTGTTGGGTATTACAGTTACCTGTTATTATATACTTCATTTTTATTTACTGGTTTTAGTTGTCAAATTTTTAAATATTGCTTTTATCTATTATTATCATCTCTTTCACATTTACACACAGTTTTTTGTTACATTTGTTAAATACTACTGTAATTTCTCTCATCTCTGAAGGCTTTACACAGCACTAATTAATAAACCCTCAGAGTCTGATCAAAGGCCCACAAAATACGACATGCTGATTAATGGAATAAACAGGCAATAACTTGCGCCTTGGCTTCAAGTGCATTCTCTGTTGCGCTAGTAAAAAAAAAAAAAACTTCCATTAAGATAGAATGGGGACTTCAAAGTTTCATAAAAACAGGATATAAGTGCAAGCACATGGTGGCCCATTTCACACCGCCTGTAGGTAGCAAAGAATGAAACCAGGTGCTCATAATAAGCTATAGTCGATGCTAAATAAGTTGAAGAAACCTTGAGCGGGATCTCTACTGACGGCGCGATGACGGATCCCTCTTCTTCCGGCCCTGGATGCTCTTAGACAACTATCTGACCTGGTTGTCTTGTAAGTTCAAACGCCACCAAGCCGTTGGGGGCCAATTTCAGATTGTTTCATACAGCGGTTCTCAGCGTGGTATGACTTTTAGGGGTTATTATAGTAAATGACCAATTTCCATGCCTGTAAATATGCTAGATATGTGGTGCTAGACACTCATTTTATAAAGATATTAGGTGCTGAAATCAGAGGCAACCAGCCAGGAGGCGCATCGTAAAAATCGGGAAGCTACTCACAAACGCTATAGGAAATATCTGCGAACAGTTCATACCAGAGAAATCATTGTCGATATAGATAATATATTTTAAGCGAACGAAAGAAGAAGAAGAAGAAGAAAGGAATCGGCACCCAGAAGGTGATGTGGTCAATAGTACGTGACTGCATTTTGTAGTACCCATTGTATTCTCTATCTATGTGGAAGCGGGTGGCAAAACAAAGTTTTCTAGACAATTTAAAGATTGACATGGCTAAGAAGTTGTAGTAAACTATGGTAAATACAACGACAGTTCTTATATAATATGCTCATAAACATATGGTGTTCGACGCAAAAAAAAAATTTCAGGATTAGCGACACTCAATGGCTGTTGTAAATAACAGTATGCCAGCTATCTGTACTTTTAAGAACACTTCCTTGTAAACAGTTAAAAGGCTAAGTCGACATAACAGCCCAGATCAAAAATAAAATCTTGCCTCGATGGGGATTAGTACCCACG